GTTTTGTGTGTGTGTTTTGTGTGTGTGTTTTGTGTGTGTGTTTTGTGTGTGTGTTTTGTGTGTGTTTTGTGTGTGCGTGTGTTGTGTGCGTGTGTAATGTAAAGAAACAGCAAAGTCTAAATTTAATAAATATAGAGCCCCACAAGTAACAACACGTAAGGCATTCTATTACACTTCACACATTTTCTTTCATTCTAAGTGTGTCTGCTGAAGAACTGGGGCAAGACAGATGCACAGTTCTCTCCTAAGAGCACTTGGGAGAAGCCTGTATGAATGAGCCCCTGTTATTATTCACATGAATATTAATGGCCTCACATTAAATGGGTAAACTTTCCTGTCTCCTTTCTCCTTTTCTTGATAGTTTTAAACAGTAATTGGTTACATAGGCTAATCATTCTTTTAAAAATCTATTTATGCATGAACCTTCTTCAAAACAGATCACACATGGAAATTCACAAGTGAAACCTTTTCAGCAGGAAGGCAGGAAACCCCCTATGCGGAAACTCTTCACAGGGGAATGGAGTTGTGGAAAACAAATGGAGGAGAAATAGAAAGCAAAGCTTATGACTGTGCAAGTTCCAGGTTTGATGCAATTCAGGTTGTTAAAGGAAGGTGGGAGAGGATAACTGAGCTCTAACCATAGGCAACCAACAAGACAGGAAGAAGTACGTTTCATAACTCTTTAAAAGTGTAGCAGATTAGCAAGCAGCAGCAGAAGACAAGATTATAAAAAAAAAATAATAATAATAAATAAATAAATAAATAAATAAATAAATTGAAGATTAATATATCACTGTCAATGCATTCATGTTAATTTAAGAGAATGGCAAATATGAATAAATAAGTATAAATAAAACAATGACTAAAAGGGGGGGGGGGGTAAGGCTTACAAATAAAACCACAAAATACAACCAACCCTAAACAGACACCCAACACCACAACTCCCTAGGGATGCCAGCTTTCTGCTTCATCTCATCAACATGATATCCACCCATTCTACTGTAACCACATCCTCAAATCCTCAAATGCTCATTCCTTTCAATACCCTGAAGAATGAATGGATAATGAAGACAGATTTCAATTATTTAGTACAGATCCTGGGAAAAAAAATAGTTCCAGGGAAATCCAATGAATAAAATATTCCTAGCCCGAAAACTATTTGATCAAAGAAAAAGGACTAATAAAAATGGAAATCAGCATGGCAATGTAACAACAACCAGCGCAGTAAACAGGAATAGAGTACCACAGGATGGGACAATTCATGCAAGCAGCTGCAAAACACACTTGCATATCAGTATATCCTTTATGCTATCAATAAGTATCATGTATGCTATAAAAAAAAAAAGACACCAGCCACATGTGAAAATAAAAAAAAAGAAAATAAAAAAGGAGCTATGCAAGGAAATCTAAAGTTGAAGTGAGAGTATTTATATTTCTGTGGCAATCTAATCCCCCAGCAAGAAGGGATTAGCAGAGAGCTTTTCATATTCATTTCAAGGAGATCATGATTCAAATACAATGAACAAGGCAAGTAAAAAGCAAAGGGCAAGGGCTCAGCTGCACAAAATTACACAGTTTAGAGATGGCCATAAAAGATACCACACTCCATCCCCCATTTCCTGAGCTGGCAATAAACGAAAACACTTCCACTACAGGAAGTTAAACAGAATTACAATATCAATAACTGTGCTGCTCCAAGACGATCAAATTCAGATGGAACTAGTAAAGGTACTATATTCCCTCAGCTGGATTTAAAACAAACAACACGTATTTACATTTTTGAAGTCTGAACTTAATTTAATTTACAAGCAGCACAGAAATTATGCAAATCATCAAAATTGGACAATCCCTTCAGAACCTATCAACCTTCTCAAGAGAAATATAAATCAAAACAACAGATATGAAAGACACATGACTTCCAAGACAATAAAAGACCAGCCACCCTGACCATTCATCATTGACAGGCATGTTATTGAAGACACTGCACCCTTTTAAACCAACAATATTCCACCTCCCTTCCCTCCCTCCCTCCCCCCCTCCCTCCCTCTAACCCTTTATCACAAATCAAACAAGACACACAACTTTCAACCTAGGGAAATAAAAACCATCCTAATTCACAGGATCAAGACGAGCGCAAACAGTTTTGACGAGTGGCATACGCAAGGCGACGGTAAATGTTTACAAGAACCCTGGCTCCCCGAACCCGTCAGCAATTGCCAACAAACCTTCACGGCTTATATTTTAACAAGATAAAGAGTTTGTAGACCTCTCAAGTTCACCATTAAATAAGGAACTAGACCAAGCTGAATCATGCCAGAATAAACAAGGGCGAAGAGAGCCAAGCCAGCATGCCGTAGCGTCCCATACGACTACGGAAGACGAGGCGTTTGGGAAGCTACTATTGGTTTCCTCTTTAGTTTTACCTTTAGTTGCCAAGGTAACTAAAGGTAAAATAAAAAAAAAAAAACATTTTCCTCTATATACCAGCTGTGTAAATAATGACCAAACTGGTTTCCATTCAAATTAAAGGTAGATACATTAGACATTTTCAAAAAAATAATGAAATGCACACGAAACACTATTAAAAGGACAATTACAAAGGCAATTCTGACCCCATAGCACTACTATGTTGCAAGATAAAGCCATCGCTCAAGACCCCGCGTCTGAAACGGGGAGCGAAATCCCGTAGACTTTATCGCCGCGACTTTGCAGGGGCGATTTATAACAGAAAAAACGGGTAAATCCTTCGTCTGCAACCACCCGACACACAAAACGGTCGTCTAGAACAAAACCCTCCCCAAAACCCCAAGAAAACTACAGCGAAAAAGAGCCAAATCTCGCGAAAAGACGCTACACACCACCCGTGCGTCCCTCCCCCTCCCTAGCCCCTTCCCCCCTCCCTCCCCAAGCTCCAAAAATTCTCCCTCTTTCCTCCGTCGTTTTTTTTTTTTTTTTCTCGAAGGGGAAGCATTTCGCCCCCTTGCCCCTAACCCTTAGCCACGACCCCGCTCACGCCCGCGACGCCCGCCCTCACGCCCGCGACGCCGGCGACATCATCGATCGGCCTGACGGGGCCTCCTCGACCTCCTCCTCGCGCCCTCCTCCGCCCTCCTCTCGGCGCCCTTGGCCTCTCACGGCTTCTCACGAGGGCGGGGCTCTTTCCCTTCGACACAGCGAGGCGGTGGGCGTGAGGGCGGCGGGCGGCTTACCTTTGGGCTCGTCGGTGTTCCTGTCCTTGACCACCCAGATCTCCTCGATCGCCCCGTACTTGGAGAAACTCTCGCGAAAATCCTCCTCCGTTATCGATTTTCCACACACAATGAACAGTCTGGAGTGCGGCGGGTCGTCATATTTGGACTCCTTCCCGTATTTTCCGCCGTCCGACCCGTGGAAAGCGTCTCTGGGTTCTCTGGCGGAGGACTCGTAGCGCCGCGGGAAGGCCTTGTCCGCACTCGCCATCTTCTCGCTCGCGACTGACGACCCGAAGCTGC